TTGGATTTTTCTGAAAATAATTGCCCCAGATGTTCACACGCCATAATATAAATGCTTGTAAGTGTTTCATTAACTTACCCCATGTTCTTTATTATTAGAACATTTCCTTCTTCATTTGTCACTTGGACAGTGTTAAAGGAAAAAATGGCACTTTTCAAACGTTCCACTAGTTCTCAGCAGGCTCCACTCTCCGGCCCAGTTCTGCCACAAGGAAGCTTTTCTATATCATATTTCTAGAGCCCCACTGCTTCTAGAAAGGATCCCAATATTCTCTGTGCATATTGCATATAGTATTTATCATTGCCACACTCCTACGATGTGTGTATTTTTAGCTTCTTTTACAAACCCAGAAGAGACTGGTGCACCCGAGTGGGAACATTTGCTAGATACTGACACTGCAGAGCTTACTATAATTCTCACAACTGTTTCTGTGTGGTATCGCCATTGGACAGGTATGAAAATAGCTCCAGAGAGGTTAAGAAACCTGCCCGAAGGTTCTACCTATTGTATCTTCCACCAGATTAAGGTTCTGTTTTAATATTTAGATCATTAATCCATTTCAATTTTAGTTTAATGCATGGTGAAAGATACGGGTCTAGTTTCAATCCTTGGCATGTGGAAAGCCTGTTTTTCCAGCACCATTTATTAAAGAGGTTGTCTGTCTTCCAGTGAAGGTGTTTGGCTCCTTTGTCAAAGATAAGGTGGCTAAGTGTATCTGGAGTTGTTTCTGCATCTTTTAATCTGTTCCATTGACCCTAAGGTCCTGTGCCAGAGCTGGGATTTGCACCCAAGGCTACTGAACATGTAGAGAATCTCCCCTTTCCTTCCCTCTGCTCTGTGGCTCAAGATAGACTGGAATTCCTTCTGTGGTGGCCAGCATGAAATCAGGCTGATGGTTTTACTTGTCCACTAACTTCATTGCCAACCAAAAGATATGATGAAGCTCTGAAAAGCGCCCATCTCTGGCCACATGAGTAGGAACCTGATGTTTAGATGGTGAGAGGGAAGAGTGTCCAGTTTCCCGCTTCCCAGTCCACTGCTGGGCTTTGTGTCCAGTGCTGGAAACAACACTTCCAAGAGGCATCCACAAACAAGTGTTTCCAGAGATCAAGGAATCCGGAAGCAACCTTCCTTGAGAAACTGTTGAAGGAGCTGGAGGCCATGGAGCAGAGACATGCAGGGGTGACATGAGAATTCTGTTGGCCCGGAGGCTGGTTATCCTGGACACATAGGGACAGATTGTGTTGTTCCAGAGAGCAGAATGGACCACTCGCTTGTACAGGGGTATTAGATAAATGCTTCAGAGGAATTCTGTAAATGCCTTACATCCAGACTCAGCAAGTCTCTTATGTGGTGCGCCCATGTACAAGACAGAAACAAGCACTCCACGGTGATAGTCAGATGGACTTGGAGATTGCTCATCATCTAAGAGTAAGTTTAGTGGCAGATAGAAGACAGTCACCTAGATGCCCCCAGCGATCCTCATGTGCCACTATTTATGGCCTTGTGTATCTTCTCCCACACTAATTCAGGGATGGCCCAGTATGCCCCAACACAGTGCAGGGGAAGTGACAGTGTGTGACTTTCAAAGCTAGGACACAGAAGCATTGCAGCTTCTAGTTAGCCTCCACCATTCCCTGTGGTGGCGATTGGCCACCATGTCATGGGGACACTTGAGTAACTCCCAGGAGGTCCCAAAGGAGAACTGAGACCACCCAGCACCAACCTGACAAATGTGTGAGTGAGCCTCCTCAGATGTGGGTCCTCAGGCCCCAGACAAGTCTGCAGCAGCACTCAGGAGATGGTCCATGCTAGGTCTGCCCACCTAGCTTCTCCCAAGTCCCAACACAGAGAAACCATGAAAGATATTAAACTATGACAGTTCAAAGCCACTAACTTTGGAGTGACTTGTTGCACAGGCACAGTAACTGGAATACAGAACCGTGCCATCCTAGGAGGGCTGCCCTGCTCTAGAACTCAGCCTGAACCTCCGTCCTGGGCAAACCTGAACACAGATGCGCTGCTTAGATTTGTAGAAGATCAGTGACTGAAAGCAACAGCAAGCACACAGAATGAGAGTCGGAACCCAGGATGACCTGGAGTGCTGAGCGGAAATTACTAGGGTAATTTTCAATAGAAGCAAAGACGATTAGATTAGAGAACTCACTCATCATACCAAGCCATGGGCAACTCTGGAGCACAGCAGCATGGGTAGCTGCAAGCTCAGAATGGGTTAGGGTGCAGCAATCAGCAAAGCTCACAGAAGCATAGGACCTGGATAAAGGAGGTGAGCACCCCCAGGGGGCTGAGCCTCCCAGCAGGAGGACTGTGTTAGCTCTGGATCACTCTTTACATGGGACACAGGCAACTGAGTCCCGCAAGGAGATGGACAGGGATAGGTGGAGCTCTGCTGGTGGAGACAGACAAGGGAGAAAGAAGCAAGGGCGCCCAATCCCAAAGGAGAAGGTGGTGAGGGCGAGAGCAACAGAATCACTGGTTTTAAGTACAGAAAGATCTGTCATTTGGCAGGAGGCCCTAAGGGCAGGGACAGGAGTGAGGTCAGAAGGGACCCATTTTGTTCATTGCTGAATCCAATGTGGGGCAGCAGTAGAAGCTTCTCTAAAAGCTGAGAGCTGCCAAAATATGAGAACCACATGACAATGGAGAAGGCTCAGAAGGTCAACCCCATGGCATGGCCAAGCAAAGTGTGGCTATGGCTCCACCTGAGGGCAGTGTGGGAAGAGGGCTGCTCTTCCCAGCTTCAAGCACCCTCCTGCTGTGACTCTGCGACTGTATGAGTGGAACCTGCTGGATGACATCACCACAGTGTTTCTCCCACCTGGCAGGTGTGTAAAGCCCTTGGGAGATCTGATTAAAGTGCAGATTCTGAGTGAGCAGGGCTGGGGTGGCCCTGAGATTCCACATTTCTATTATGATCCCAGTGGATCCGCTGGCCTGTACTTTGCAGAGAAAACTGGGGAGGGACAGCAGATGAGCCATTTGGCAAAGGCACAGGGCAACTGCAAAGTCTTCTAGCAGAGGACGGACAACGTGCAGGAGACATGTGAACACGGACAGGACTCTTGAGTGTGACAGAAGAAGGTCTATGTGCCACTGAGGACTTGCTGACACTGACAATCAATGTCCTCTGATTCGAAGGATGCAGTCTTTAGAGTGTGAACTTTCCCAGCAGCCTCAGTTTTATGGATCCTTTCAAGGTGGGCACAGTGGAGTCTTGTCAGTCTGCACTGAGATCCCCACACTAGCCCAGTGGCCCTGAGTCCTCACTTCTTAGTGTGTAAATGGGAGTCATGTCCACTCGTGAGGCTGCTATGAGAAGCGCCATTCTGCACATAATAAGTGCCTGAGACTGATACATGTTTCTTACCTTCATTAAACACCAAGTGATCGATAAACATGTGTTCCCTTCACTACAAAGATGAACTGCCCAAAGATGAACTGCCTCAAGTTGGTCTCTAACTTGAGTTGCCCTTCATCTACCCTAGAAGTACTGGGCTGTGTATGAGATATGATCCCATTTTACAGAGGATGGGTTTTCACCTAGACAATCAGGTGAATTCTGGCATGGGAATCCAGGACCCCTCTTGTTGGGCTCTTAGGAACTGGTTTATCTAGAAGGCTCATTTCACCTGGCCCAGGCATCAGAATTTCTCACAGCTCCCAGGGGCAAGTGGGTGGAGTGGACACTCTAGCCACCCGACTGCCCCACTGCTCTGGACAGGGGAGAGATGTCAGGGGATGATAAGAAGTGGCTGGGCCAGAGCCAGGCCTGCCCCAAGCAGATATGGCCAGTAAGATGCTCACAGGATCCCAGTGCAGTCACCCTGGGGAAACTGAGGCACTTCACCTCCAATTAGCCAAGGAAATGCTTGGCCTATTGTCTCTGTAATGTGCGGCCCACAAAGAACCCACTTTTCTTTCCTTCCTTCAGTCTGTGACTAATGAGAGGGCCAAGTGGTTTCCATGGCACTGAAATCTAACTGTGAAGCACATCAACTCCCGTCACAGGGACCCTGAAGGGCACTGGCCAGCCTGGATCCCTCAGAGTGCTGTGGCTTACGCAGCAGCTTATGTACAGAGCAAGCGTGACCTTGGGGTCGAACTCAGAACTCCGTAGAGTAGGCAAGCCCGCCGCTTTCCGGGCACCATTTTCACACCGGTGGGGGGGGGGGAGTTGTAATATTTACCTTACTGGGCTCTTTAGAGAAATTAAATGAGATATTATGCTGTGTTACAAAGGGCAGGTAGAAGGTATTCAAAGGCTGTTAGTGTTTTACTCTCCCCCCACCCCCCCGAAAGCGCTATAGGAATCTTGGAGCTATCGCAGTAGGGCGATTTCCTCCTCGGTTTGAGACGTCCTTGGTCTCTCCTGGATTTTGAAGACCTCAGCCTTTGGCCCAGAGGATCCCGGCTCCTGGAGCACCTCCCTGCGGCCGCCTTGCCACCCCCTCCTCCTTCCCCCGCCAGCCCTGGCGCACCCCACCCCCAAAACTTTAGGCGGCCTCCTCGGTGAGGGGTCTTCCAAACGGCAGCCCGGGAGGAGGGGCTCCTGCGAGATCCCAGCCGCAGACCTCCGCTGGGCGCCGGGAACCCCAGCCCGCCGCGCTGGCCGCGGAACCCGGGCGCTCGGGACGGCTCTGCGGTGCAGCCTTCCGGGGCCCCTCCGACTGCGGAGCTCCCGGCCGCAATGCAGACGCCGGCCCTCTTGCCCTGCGCTCCTCCGGGCCGGAGCCGCCGGGTCCGCGCGCGCCCTGAGCCCCGGGCGGCCTCCCCAGCGCGCGCCTCTCTGAGCCGGGTCTCGCGCGCACCGGACGCCTCTGCTTTCCCCTCCCCCGCCGGCCGCCCCTCGGCCCCCCGGGGGTGGGGTTTCCCTCCGCGATCGCCCCTCCCGCCCGCCCCTCGCCACCCGTGTGCCCTTCCCTCCCCCGCCCGCCCCTATGTATGTGTCACCGCGAGCCATGCCCGCCCGCCCACCTACCTCCCCGCGCTTCCAGAGGGGGCTCGCAGAGCTGAGGACGCGCTCGCCCTGCTCAAGGTCCCTCCCTCGCTTCCTCCGTACCGGCACCAGACGCGGGTGCCAAGGGGCTCCGGGCACCTTTCTGTGTCCCTTCCCTCGATCAGCCGCTACTCCGCAACCCAGCCGCTGCCGCTGCGGCCACCGCCCGAGGGGACCTACGGACCGGAGGAGGGGTGCGCAGCGCCCGCTCAGAGCGTCCCCTCCAGTGCGCAGCGAGACCCAGGCCTCCGGGCCCCGAGAGTCCCTGGCCAGGTGCACGGGACTGAAGTTTTTGGAGGAGGGAGCCCAACTCTTCAAGGTAACCGTCACCTTCCCTCCGGGGAAAGGCTCTCTCCAGGCGTCCGGCAGAAGTGCTGAGGTACGCGCCTCGGTGCTGGGGCTGCGCCGCCTCGGCCGCCTCGGTCTCCCCGCCGGAGCGCCGCATCTCCCCAGCGGCATCCGCAGAGGAGTTGAGCAAACTTTCCGGCTCCTGCGGATTCAGAGTGAATGGGGCTGAGGAACGCGGGAGGAGGGGCTCTGGTCTCCTCGCGCCCGGAATGAAGGAGCAGGGAGCCTTGCGCCACACTCCCGGGTGCGTTCTGGTCCTAGGCGGAAGGATATAAGGATGTGCAGTACGAGGCAAAGTGAGTTCAGATCTCCGCGGTGCCTCTTTGGGTCTGGTGGAGACTTCGTGTTACTGAGTCTGTCACCTGGGAATAGGGACTCCTCCTTGGTGGCAGGAGGAACCCACGAAATGAGGTGGACAGCGGGCCAGGTACCCACCAGGTGCCTGAGCAGGGGTCCCACGTCCTTGACGCTTTGGACTAGGGCAGGGGCCGCCGGGCGCCTGAAGAGGTGGGGAAGGGCTGGGAGGAAACTGGCAGAACCTGGGACAGGGCAGGGCAGCGCTCCAAACGTGTCCGTGTCCACCAAGAAGGGACATTTCTCAGGTCAGGAGAGCGAGGGAGATGGGCACGAAGACTAGGGCCACTTTTCCCATTCTGGGTTCCTCTAAAATGAAGCCGAGGATGGTGGAGCAGGAACCCTTGCCAACCCTGGGGCGGGGGGGGGGGCTAGGAAGCTGTCACTATCTCAGCTGAAGCCACATTGTAGGCTAGAGCGAGCTCCGGGGGTGGCGGGCTGTCTCGGGGTGGGAGACAGGCTCCAACCCAAACTCCCCATCATTATCCTCCTTTCCATCCTGAAGGCAGGGCTTCCAGTAGGGTTTCCTCCTGAAGCAGCTCAGCACTCTGCATTCTGATCCATGTGTGAATCCCGGTGCTGTGGGAGTGGCTGCCAGGAGGCACCGGAGGAAGGTGTAAGACTGAATTGAGTGAATGGGGTGCTTCTGGCCCTGGTGCAGCAATGGGTGCAGTTGGGGGTACGCTGGGCCTTGGGGGCACAGCTGTCTCTTCTCACCCATGACAAAGGCATGGGAGCCCAGAAAGGCACCATGAGTTGCTAAAAGGTGTGGCTGAGGGGCAGGCACGGGACTAGAGAAGCCTGTAGCCAGACCCTCATCCTGACTGAAGAGTCTAGAAGTCTTCTGGACTCTGTCTTTATCTCTCTTCCTGGCCGTCTGGGTTGCTGTGGACAAGGAGAAATCAGTTATCTATGTGCCCTCAGCAGGGCGGTCTCCGAGGCACTGTGAAGATAGATCTGGGGTGTTGGCCTGTGGATCACTGAGCCCAGGACCTGGGGAGCAATGGGAAGAAACCCCCCTGGCCCGACAAGGGTGGGAGTGGTGGGTAGGAGATGTTTCTAATCTTAAAGACAAACTACAGTAAAAGTTTTAAGGAAGGAATTATCAGAAAGAACAAAATGCTGGAAACTCCAAGACTCTGGAATTGTTTGAGCTGTGTTTAATTTAGATGCATTGATGTGCAGTTCCTAGCACCAGGGCCCGATGAGATATTCACTCGCCTCCTGAGTGTCACCCAGGTGCCAGGCTCTGTGCTCATAATGGGTACTCGGTACACAGTGGGCGACCCAAGCAAAACACTTAGCTCAGTGCCCACAACCGGACAAGGACTCAGTACCTGTTTGATATTGTTATTATATTAAGAAGTTTCCCTTTTCCTAAAATTTTCCATGAAAATCATCCTTACATAATCATACTTACATTGGAATTCTCTCTTCAGTGTTTGAAAGCCCTCGCCACACCCTGCCCAGCTCACCAGCTCAGGCAAGCACCCCCATCCCAGAAGCCCCCCCCCCACCCTGCACACCAGGGGGTGCACTCTGTCCCCACCTGCCCCCACCAGGCTGCAGAGGGCGCCCTGGGAGCACACGGTGCTCGAGGCAGACCCAGGTTCAAATCCCACTACAGCCACTTAGTGAACAGGGAGGGGGGAACTCCAGGAATAGATTTTTGCAAGGATTAAAAGACGTAAGTTGGGGACACTGGGCATGCCTGTAAACTCAGCACTCCAAGGCTGAGCAGGAAGATCGCAAGTTCAAGGCCAGCCTGGGCTACAAAGGGAGACTGTCTCAATAAAACAAGACATAATGCGGGCGCCTTGTCCTGCCTGCAGTGAGCCCCACAAATCTGTATTCCTCAGCTGGGACAGCTCCCAGGGCCCCCTGTGAATTCAGGATAGTACAGGTTTAGAATGTTCTCTTAGAGACTGTGTCCCAACTTTTAGTGTGGATTTTTTGAAATAATGCCTTCTCAAACTGGATCCTTCCCAAGGCCCTTCTGGTTGGGCACCAGGAGGACCTTGGCTGAGCCAGGGGAAGCCTGCAGACCTCTGCGTGGAGTCTCAGTTTTAGCCTATCTAGGTCTGCAGGAACATAGGATTTGGCCCACTGTAGCCTGCGACACCAATTTAGTGGGGATTTTAATAAAATGGGAAATAATACATAAGGTTGTAGTGCCTCCCAGGTAGCTAAGGGTAAGTGCTGTTTCTGGAAACTTATTCCCTGTTATGTATTTTACAACTCTTTGAGGGTATGGGTGTACATGGTGTATGTATATATGTAAATGTATGAAAATTTGATATTTGCATAATGTGTTTCTTGCTGCAAGCTGTGGTCAGAGAAAGTTTGAAAGACACTTGTCGCATGATGCTGTTTCTATCTCTGAGAAGTTCCTGCTTGGTAGCTCCAGGTGCAGGCACCGGGGTGCCCTTGCTGCAGCTGCACCACCGCCTGGCCTGACCTTTAGTGTCCAGGAGTGAAGACAGCTAGAGATGAAATTCTGGGGTATGGATGAAAGGCAAGTTCAAGAAAGAGGACTCAGGGTCAGGGATTTAGCTCAGTGGTTCTGGCACCAGCCTCGCAAGCGCAAGGTCCTGAGTTCGATTCCCGGTACCAAAAAAAGAAAAAGAAAAAGAAAGAGGACTCAGAGTCAGAGAGGAGGCAAGGCATTGGGGGGCTCTGCTTATAAGTGGCACTGGGGAGGGGACAGCTGAGTACTACCCTGGAAAGGGGTCTGAGGGTAGAAGCACATCTTGTTACTGGCTCTGCGTCTGCCCCCTCCCTGTGAAGGGGTCTGGGCCCTGCGTAGGGCTGGAGAGGGAGAAGGAGTGCAGTAAGAGGACCAGAGAGAGGGGGAATTTGTAAGGAAACCAGTAAAACGGTTCCTTTTTTCAAAAGTTGAATCCAGGGCAAGAACGGAAATATGTGAGTTTACTTTTAAAAACTCAGAGCCTCCTTGTAAGCAGTGGAGTGAGCATGTGTGTGTGTGCACTGGAGGGCGGGCCCTGCGGGCTGCCTGGGGTGTGTGAGAGGTGACTTTGCTCCCTCTCAATGGCCTTACAGTGTATCCTAAAGAAGCTTTTTGTTAAACTCATGAATAGGTGGATTTGGGGTATATGATCTTGGGCATCACGATTTGGGTATTTGGTTACCTTTGAGGTTACATGTTTTTCATTTTAAGATGTCCACCCGAAAAAGGAGCTATGTCTCTGATTTTGCAGAGAGGGGCTGCCTGTTAAGTAATTGATTTGATCTGAGGGGTGAGAGTAAGAAAGAGAAAGACAGGACAGGGCACCCACCAGTGCCCCACCTGGGGACAACCCCTCTTCAGCCCCTGGGCCTCTGGCACTACCCAGACCCAATGCCCACAGTTTCAGGGCCTATGATGTCCCTTATTTAAGAGATCACAAAGGGGTCTTCAGAGCCAGAGAAGAGAAAGACTGTACCCCAGGCCACCTGGAGCAGATTGGTGGGAATGTGTGTGAGAATCTAGATGTTCAGCCCCCCATCCCAGAACATTCCATGTCCACGGAGACCATTCCTTCATTCAGTCATCTTTCAGCAGTACTTGCTACTCACCAAGCGTTATGATCAGTGTGGTCTACACAGCAGGAATAAACCAGTTCATTCTTCTTGCCTTCTGCCTCTGCCTTCTCACCATGTAATGTGGAGGAGGGGCTGCGATCAACTTGACCCTGACCCCTCATTTCTGTAAAGCAGTCCTTCTCAGTTGAGGGTTCTTTTGCCTCCCAAGAAACTTTGGGCTGCATCTGGAGATGTTTTCGCATTTTTCATTGTCACCATATTGGGGGGGGGTGCACTAGCATGTAGCGGAGAGAAGCCAGAAGACTGCCAAACATCTCGGGCTAGATAGGACAACCCACACCACCATACACACAAAGTAGAAGATCATGCAGCCCCAAATGCCAGTCATGCCAAGGCTGAGAAATGGCCCCACCTTCCATGCTCTGTGGACCTGGCCTTGCCTGATTGTGTGAAGCAGCAGGAGGATGAAGGGCAGGGTGGGGGGTGAGAGTGGGAGTAAGGATCTGGTAGACAATGAAGAGCAGACACCAATGCAAACGGGGAAAGGGCAGAGCCCCGGGGATCCTGGGAAGAGATCTAGGTTGGAATTCCAGCTGTGTGCTCTTGGGCACCACACCTTCCCCTCTCAGCCTGTTTCTGCATCTGTGAAATGGACTTGTGGGGCAATGGTGAGGATTCAAGAGAAAGCCGATAAAGAACCCAGCACACAGTAGATCTATAATGAAAAAGCAGATGTTATTACTATCTTTGAGGCCTTTCAAGGCTGTGCTATGGAAAATTACAGCATCAGCAGGTGTGGACATGTGATCTTGAAGCCAAAGAAGGTTGCTGTTTGGGGCACGGTTGCCTTAGTGATGCCTCGTGCTGGGTGGGGTCAGCCCCGCCCCCACACACAGCCCAGCAGGAATGAGAAGAGCCAGGAGGACTTGCTCCTCCAGTGAGAGCCTGGGACCTCCAGAGTACACAGAGGGAGGGAGGACCACTGGACATGGAGTGACAGGACCTGGGCATTGATTCTGTGACAAAGGGGAGAAACCAAGTCTGTCGCCACAGGTCAAGATCCACTGAGACCCTACAGTCTACAAAGGTCCCTTGTGGCGGTGCCCTGAACCCAAGGCAGGAGCCTTTTGTGTTTTGGTGTGTGCTGTCCCTAACCCAGTGCCAGGCACAGACAGAATAGTTGAGCTTATAAATGATGGATGAATGAATGAAGGAATGAACAGACCACTGCACTCCAACTTCCTTTCAGTTCTTGACAAGGAGAGGACCTGTAATACCCAGATGGGAAGTACTTCGCTTGGCCCCACCTCCATCCCTTGAGGGGTGGGGCGAGGGGTAAAGAAGCAGGGAGGGACCTCTGGTTCCCAGTAAGCACTGGGTCTGGATACAGCTCCGGGCAACAGCGCCCTCTGGAGGGTACTGAAGATACAGCAGTCGTGCTGTGCCAGCCCGAGAGACAGAAAGGCTTAACCAGGATCAGGAGCCAGAGACTTACTATCTCCCTGCAGGCTCCTCGTGGAATACTTACATTTTCCTGTCTGTGAACTAGAGTTACAGTAAACCAAGTCCTGTGGATTTGGGTAGGTCACCAAGTGCCCCTGAGCCTCCATCTTATAGGGTCGTAAGAGAGCAGAGAAGGACTTCATTATGCAGATAGGGAGACTTGGCCTGGGGGTGGCCTGGTCCAGGGCTGCTATTGGCAGAGCCTTCGACCTGGCTCTGAGGGCCTCCCTTCACACCGAGGCCCCGTGCAAATCAGCTACAGGAAGTGGCAGGTCACGGAAACCCTGTGCCATCTGATCAGAACCCAACCACAGTCAGATTTAGCCCTGGGTGCACCCTTTGTACACCTCAGGACCACCTTCTCGCTCTGCCCTCCAAGTCCTTGCTGTCCCCAGGCCACTTCTGGGGAGAAAGCCCTTCAGAAAAGGCATGTCCAAGTAAGGGAACCTAGACTCCCTTTGAGGGCCTGGCTTCCTGGGCATAGATAGGGGTTTTCCCCAGCAAGGCCCAGCCCCTTGGCCTGACCTCCCCTCTGCTTCACACTTCTGCCTGTGTGTCTGGGACGCTCAGGGGAACATCTGGATTTTAGGGTTACACCCAGTGAGAGAGAACCAACCAGAGACCGATATTAAATCCACACAGGAGTTTATTACCAGCCGGGACCCGAGCCGAGCATCGGACTCCGCCTCGACTGGGGGTTGACAAACATGTTTTATACACCTTTGAGGCCAACAGTTTCTAGGCCCCCCTATGGGATAGAACTAATAAAGCAACCAAAAGGTACAGAAGCGGAACGTCCTGCTGTTAGAACATTTGTAAAACAATAGTTGATTAATTGTTATTTCTAAAGAGACTTTCTAAGGGGAGGAGGTTTTTAAGCTTCCTCCTTCTGAGTTCATCTAAAGGGCAGGCAGGTGGGTCAAGCAGCAATATGGAGTCTGTCTTGCTAACTAGGGTCTTTCATTTAGGATAACTCGGGAACGTGTTGGATGCTTTTCATCTTTGCAAGGCCTTGGCAAGGAAGCCTGGGGCCCATCACAGGAGGTGGCCTTTGGTCCTAGAATCAGAAGGATCTGAGAAGCTCTTTTAAAATGCAGGTGCCTGAGCATCTGCTTCATGAGAAGGGGGTGAGGTAGGATGCTGCTGTTGGAATTGCCCCGGGGTGACTCCAGGTGTGTGAACCTGATTTAAACCCCAACAGCTCATCTTGGGGGACTTGGCTTTAAGCTCTTCCTCCAGCCCTGCATCTTGGGGTCATTGGCCTTTCCCTCCCTGAAGACAGGATTCCCACCTCTGCTCATTTACCCTTGGGGGCAGTGAGAAGATCAAGGCCTGCTCTCCCTGTCTCCTTGCTCCTGCTGAGATGGCTCTGGCTTGGATTAAAGTACATTTGTCCCTCGGAGCTAGGCTGGGCTTCCCCGAAGTGGCTTCCCTAGAACACGCCATGCAAGGGCAGGCATAGGAGTGCACATATAAGGGCTCCACTCTTCCTCAGGAAATTCTGAGCCCAGTGAAATTAAATGGGCCCCTTTGCTGCTGAAAGGCTGGAAGCCACCATGGTGATTCAGTGACAGGTATGACCAAGGAGCTCTTCTTTCCTCTTGCAGATTGAGGGGCTCTGTGAAGATGCAGATCTAGGTGATCAGCCAGGTCTGATCTTGCAGCAAGAATAGGGGGCTGTGCTGGGTCCCCAGGGGACAGAAAACCTCATCGGTCAGACTTAAATCTTCAACCTGACAGGCAGCCCGAGCCCCTAGCAACTCCCCACCTCAGAGTAGCTAGGCCCAGCCTCTTCTTTTCACACAAGCAGCCTCCTATTTAAAGGCTGGCCTGGTAGATGCTCATTTCAGTTACTTTTTTTTTTTTTCCTCCCATCTGGAATTTTTTTTCCTGGTACTTGAAATTGAAGCCCAGACCTCCTCATTGAGCTACATCCTCAGCTCTTATTTGTTTGTTTACTTGTTTATTTAGTTATTTATTCATTTTTATCTTGAGACAGGCTCTTGCTAAGTTCCTAAATTGCCCGGACTGGGCTGGAACTTCTGCCTCAGCCTCCCAGAGTGCTGGATTCACAGGCTTGCACTATCATGTCCAGCTCCTTCTGGATTTAGAGGTGGGACCTCAGTGGGGTTTACTGGGGTGGACCCCAACCCCAAGCACACCTTGTAGCTGGACATTTCTCCATCCATGCCTGGCTGGTCTTCATGTAAGCCCAGGGCCAACCCTGTGAGTTTGGCTTGCTCGCTGGGTGACACCAGGGGGCGCTGGTCTCCTGGGAGTCTCTGAGTAGCCTCCCTGGGTGGGCGGTGGCCCTACAGTGGGCAGAAGGGTCCCAGTAGAGTGCTGGTCTCCCACCCTCACCATAGGCACCGTGCCCACCCCAGGCCCTCAGCGCCCAGTCACAGGGCACCTTCACCCCTTCTTCACCCATCAGTCCCCCTAAAGTGTCATTCTGAAATCCCCACTGGTTTCCTAACCCCGAGCAATGCTGGCTTCTACTGTGACTTGTTTCAATAACATTTTAGCAAAGTCTCCTGGGTCACAGCGTCTGATTACTGAGATGGCCCTCACATCCGTTCCCAAGGGACGGGAGTGGGTGGGGATGGGGTGCCCGAGGAAGGGCCTGGCACTGGGGTAGAGCCTCAGCTTCCTAGACCCCTCAACCTCTCCCCAAGTACCCCCCTTTTGAGCACCACCTGCCACACCAGTGACCCAGGGATCCCAGTTCCCCAGTATCCCTGCATACAGCACACAAGGCTCTGGCCGGGTGTAGTAGCTGGGAAATGGTGGCTAATGCTGCCTCTCCTTAGTCCTGGGGGAGTGGCTGGTCCTCAGATGCCCACAGCTCGATGGATGAATGGATGGCTGGGGTTATTTGCATATTCCTTCTCCGCCAGTGCACACTGCTGAGGATCCCCAAAGACTGGAGCGATGGTCCTGTCCCACTGCCAGTCAGCCTAATCCCTTCTGTGGCCCACAGGCCCTCTGGAGCTGACACACCCGTTACCCACCCCATCAGCTCCCCAGACTCAGTATCCCCTGCCCTCCCCCCCCCACCGAAGCCCTCCAGCCCCTGATCTCTCACATCCTTCCAACCTCAGGCTTGGCCCACTCTGTTCCCAAGCCTGAATGCTCTTCCCACCTCATGGGCATGACCCCTTCATGCCATCACTCAGCTTCAAGTGCTGCCTCCTCCTGGAAGCCTTCTTTGCCTACCCTTTGTCACATTTTCGGTAGCTGGTCACTGGAAGTCCCTGGTGGGATTTCCCTGGTGGGACTTCCTTGGTGGCCCCCTGCCCCACCCTGATGCAGCCATCTGTTGACCCGACAAATACCCTCAGTGAGGTGCTTTTCAAGCCAGGCTCTGGGGATACAGGGGTTGGGGGACAGAAGTGGGTGGAGATAGCAGAGCTAGCGATTTTGGGGTCTCCTGCCAGGCTCTATCAGGACAGCCCATTCTCCATCTTTTGAAGTCATTGGTACAGAACACTCTGTTTTCTGTTTCTGTCATAAATGAGAAAAGGGGACCCAGAAGAGTATGTCCCCACCCTGGCTCGGGGACTCAGGGACTCTGCACAGCTCAGGTTCCGTCATCAGTGGATGGTGCCAGTGACCCCAGGAGGAGAGGGCTGCCCCCTGCGTCTGTCTGCCCGTCACCCCCCAGCTCCCTGGCCCTTCCCCACCGCTCGGACAGCAGCTGCTCTCGGGGACCTGTCCCTGCTTAGGTCTCGAGCACTCTGGGTCCTCAGGCTCAGCCCTGGGCCACCCCACCTGCCACAGGCCCTCTTCATCCCCCGCCCTCCCACCTTCCCAGCTGCAGGGTTCCCACCCTGTGACATGGCAGGAAGAGGTCAAGCAGCTGGTCTTCCTGAGGTTACCACCTCCGAGGGTAGCCCCTGTCACAAAGGACGCTGTGACAGCTCACTCTGGTCTCACCCCCAGTACTTATCCCAGAAACTCCAGCTCCATCTTGTCTTTGTTCAGTTGTGACCGAGACTGTAGCACATTGTCACCTTTATTAACACACCTGGAACTGGGGTTTGTGGGAACATCCAGGAAGCCAGTGTCTTCTAGGAGCGGATCAGGGAGAGGGACTCCCAGCCCAGTATGCTCTTCCCCAGCAGTGTGCCTTTGACAGAGAGATGGGCCTTTCTGGGCCTCAGTTTCCTTATCTGTGAAGTGGGTGTGAGGATTCTCAGCCCATAGGTTTGTAGGCAGGGGAGTGAGATGGTACAACCCCATCCCACAAAAAATCAAGCTCAAAGCACAGCTCCCTTTATGCACATCTGGCCCAGGCCCCATTCCTGATGTCTCAGAGCCCAGCCTGTTTTGGGTGACCGTGTCCTGCTGCACCTGCCTCTTCTGGCCTGAGCCCGGGCTTCCGGCTGCTTTCCTCTCCACTCTGAGAACAGGCAGGTTCTTCAGGACTGCAACAAGAGCCCCATCTCCTCTGCCACCTTCAAGCTAACTGGGGACAGGGCAGATGAAGAAAGTCAGGTTTGGCTCCTGGAAGGCCCGGTAACTGCAATAGGCCTTGTTGTGCCCAGAGCCCCTACATTACATAACCCTAGGGAGTGCCATTCCATTGTGGTCTGTGTGCCTAGTGGCCCCCTGGAATTGTGCAGTGCACATTCTTTATAACTTTACTAGGCAGTCTTCCCCATACCTCACTTTTCGACCCTTCTCTTTGGGCTGCACTACAGATGTTGCACTGCAAAGGATGTACTGGTAATAATTTCCCTTCGGGGGCTCTCAGGGCTGGCCAGCATGGCTGTGCTGCCAGGAGCCATGTGGGGAGTGAGGGGGTGGGGCAGAACTGGCAACTGTTCCTACCCCCGTCTCCTCCTCTCCTGGGACTGGAAAGTGGAGAATTCTAAACACCACAAGAGAACCTCTAATGATTCCAACCAAGTTTAGGCAGCTGGACAAACTCAGTTCTGCCTCTAGCTGAGACACTGTCCAATGTGGATTCCAGAAGAAAAGAGGCGGAGCCAAGAGAGGCCAGAACCGGGCCAGGGATGTAGCTCAGTGGTTCCACCACCCGCCTTGAAAGTGCAAGGTCCTGAGTTCCATCCATGGTACCAAAAAAAAAAGAGAGAGAGAGAGAGGACAGAACCCATTTCTCTCTCCCTCTGTTTCTCTAGAAATGCGAGAGCCCAAGGAACTGCAGGGGAGCAGAGAGACCTGTGACAGCATGAGGGTCGGGAGCTGGGCCACAAGCTCATAAAGACTGGAGTCAGGGCAGGGGGCAGAGGAGAAAGAACTAGAAAGACCACTGAGAACAATCCCAGGATGAGAAAGTTCTGTCTCCCTAGAGGCAAGGAAGGTGGAGGAGACAGAAGCACTAACTTCCCCAGTAGTCTAAGGGACGCTGAGGTCGGCCACCAAGTGAGACTGGCCATCTCCTTATTAAAGGTTTAAATTAATACAGTCCTGTGATGAAAGTTACTCTTTGTACTCATTCTCTTTGCTGTGACAAAGCACCCCAAGTGAGGTGGCTTAAAACAGCAGAAATGCACTGTGTCACAGTTTGGGAGCTGGGCCTGCTCCCTCTGTCTCCTGCAGGAAGACCCCTTCCTCGGCCCTTCCTAGGCTTGATGTGGCGATCCAGCCCTGGCTTCTGGCTGCCTTGGTGTGGTCTCCAGCCCTGGTGTCCCTGTTCGCCCTGTGTACCTGTTTTCCCTGGCCATCTCCCCTTCTTATAAGGACATTGGTCGCACTGGACGAGGGCCTATCAACTTACCTCAATTACATCTGCACATGCCCTACTTCTACAAAAGGTCACAGTGAAGTCACCAAGGGGTAGGACCTCAAGGTGTCTTCTGTGGGCAGGACATGATTCAACTTGTAATGCTCTTTAATGACTTGCTCCTATGCTCTTGACTTGTGCTTCATCTGAGAGATTTAAAGGAAGTTCTATACAGGGAGAAAGGATAAACAAATGACAAATCTCCCATTGCTCAGTGCTTTCATGCTAACTGGAGACTGAGAGACGGAGGATGTAAAGGCCCTTGAGCCATCTGAGCTGAGCTCACTGTGTGCACACCCTCCTCGCTGAAGCGGGAAAGGCTCAATGGAGCGGGTCTAATTGCCCCCATTTGATAGATGATGAAACTGAGGCATAGCTGGAAGACCGTAGAGCCAGAATGTGAACTCATGATTGTCTGATCCAAAGTCCATGCTTTCCAGGATATTCTGTGCACTGTGCTTGAAGAGGAGGTGAATTTCTCAGTCTTGACTCTGGTCCTAGAATAAGAAGCAAAGGCCGGCACTCATTCTGGGACCCACCAGCCAGGGTGTTTATGTAAGGGACTGTTGCTTCCTGCACACTGGAAGCAAGAATTTCATGTAGGTCCCTGGGATCCCAGGGTCAGGATCACCTTTTGAGCTGGAACTGTGAGCTCCAAAGACCTTGGGGCCACAATCTTTTGGGACAAGAAAATTCATTTCCCAGCAGATTCCCAAGAGTTTCAATCCTTAGAGAGCTTGTTTCCTACCCTGCACCCCAGTTGACTGCCACCTTGGTCACCGGCGGGGACACTATGGCTTTGACACTCAGACTCCAGTGCTCCTAAGGCCTGTCAGAGCCAGAGAGTATGCTTTCACCTGTGACAGTCTCAGACATAGATTTTTTTTTTTTTGGTACCGCCGGGGATCGAACTTGGGTCCTTGTGCTTGCGAGGCAGGCAGCAGAACCACTGAGCTAAACCCCCAGCCCAGATGTAGATTTTTAATAAGGGCATAAAACTTCATTTTATCCTGAAAAAGATATTACCTTTAAAAAGGATAAAACAGGCCGGGGATTTAGCTCAGTGGTTCCACTCCCTGCCTCACAAGTCCAAGGTCCTGAGTTGGATCCCCGGTACGAAAAAAATAAAAATAAAAATAAAAAAGATAAAGTACAGCACAGAAAGTTTAGGAAATACAGATACTCAAGTGGAAAAAATTAAAATTTACTATAAACTTACCACCCAAGATAATCACAGTTCAATTTCTTTTCCACAAATAGATATGCACAAAAATAAAGTGAAATTGTCTTCTATATATTATTTTACAACTTCCTTTCCATGCTTAATGACATAGCAACAACACATTTCCAAGTCAGTAAAGAGTTTTTCCAACTTGAACATTCCCTGTGCCGGGCCCTGTGCTGGACACAGCAGGGGATATCAAAGGAGGAATGGGAAGTCTTCCCTGCCCTCAAGGAGCCCGCAGTGCAGGTATCCAAGCTCGACATCTGCAGTGACAACTCGGCGTCCATGTGGTGCAGGGAGCCCTATCTCTGCCCCAGTCCTGCTCGCTGCTGACACAGCTTTGAGGGAATTTTCCTGTCAGGGAAAATCAGCACAGCTGCTACCACCAAGTGCAACTGGCTTTGAAGCTCAGCTACAGGGCAGCATGGCATCACTGAGAGAGAACTCGGTAGTGAGAAATCCTGCAGGGGCTCTTCCTGCTGGCTCTGTGTCCCCAGTAAGCCAGAGACAAGAGCCTCAATTTGCTACTCTCAGAGTTGGTCTGGCTCCTTTGCTCCCCCCAGGGTGGGAGCACCTCAAGGTACCAAGCGCATGTCTGGTGTTGGAGGACCAGTATTTCCCTATAATGGAAAAAATCAACTGCTTCCACTGCTGTTCAAAGCAATAGTCCAGTGCAGCAATGGGTAAAGGATGATTGTGTTGGACTCACTGGGAGATGGCATGGGGCTCTCCAACATGGCGCCCTCCAACATGGCGCCTTCCTAAGAGGTTTCCAGGGGGTAGGCATTAGTTATACCCGATGTCTCCCTTTGTGGGGTCACAGCCCAACCCCAAGAAGATGAAGCTCCTCTGTGGAGTATGTGACAGTGTCCCCTGCTGTGGGGGATGCCGACTGCAGGGTGGCACCAGGAGGACCCTGGGCATGTGAGAGCTTCCTTGGATACACCAGGGAAAAGCCCTGGAAGCTGTCCAGTGGGGCAGCACACAAGCACATCTAGATACAGTGCTGGCAAATACTATCAATTTCCCTCCTCAGAAAGAAAGGTAGTCATCAAGTTCATAAAGGCAGAAGGCAAAAGGGTGGTTGCCAGGAGTAGGCAGAGGCAGAGATGGAGCTGTTGTGTAATGGAGACAGATTCTCAGGTCTGCAAAATAGAGAGTTCAGGAGACACATGGCGGTAATGGTGGCACAACAGCGTGGATGCTAAATGCCACTGAACCGTACACTTGAAAATTATTATGATGGTAAATTTTATGTAATGGGTAATTTAAGACAAGTTTAGGCACAAAAGAATCCATCTTTTTAAAAATAAAGAAAGATAGCTGGCTTGTGAGGGTGATGTCATTACAGGAGCACAGCAGGGAGGAGGTGGGAGGAGCAGGGAGCCTCCAGCTTCGAGGGTGTCCTGCCGGCTCTGTCCTTTCCATCAAACTTTGACCCTGAACCCAATCCAAGAACTCTTGTAGTAGGCACTCAGCAAATGTCTATTAATCCATGATGTTATTGCTGTTGTTGTTGTTTGGGTTGTGTTCTGTTTTTTGCAGTGCTGGGGATGGAACCCAGGGCCATGCAAATGCTAGGCAAGCACTCTACCACTGAGCTACACCTCCAGCCCCTTAACCGTGACTTAAATGAAGCTGAGGTTCTGTAGTGACTATGACAGACCTCCAGGGGGCTCCACCTCCAGCTTTTGGCCCCTACATGGGACGCAGGGAACAGGGTAATACCTTTAATGGCAAAGCTTCTGGAATCAGACCCATCAGCTGTGGGATTTGCGCTAAGTTCTTGGCCCCTCTGATCCTCTGTCCCCTCAGATCTAAAATAGGACTAGTGATAGTGTGCTTCACCCAGGAATATTGTGAGCAGGGAGTGAGATAGTGCCTGGCTTGGGCTCCACGTCTTCAGTGGAGGCGGTAGTGAAGGCATAGTGGAGGGCGGGCGGCCAAGCCTGGGTGAGACCCAGACCCTCAGGGGCACAGCCTCCTTGAAGAGGCAGATGGCTGCTCCTGCTGGGATGGAGGACAACGGTGAGCTCAGTGACGGTGGGACATCTTAGAGGACTTTGCGGAGGAGGGCCCAGCCAAACGAAGATGATGCAGGCTGCGGTTTCCTCCTGAAAACATGGTCATTCCCTGAAATCCCCAGAGCCTTCCCATTACCTGGAGAAGGAAGCCCGGACATGAAGGCTCTTTAGGGTCTGGTCCAGCTTTATTTCTAACTGTATTTGATCTACACCACTAGGACCCACGCTTTTGTGTATGCAGCCCTCTCCTTGTAGAATGCTCTTGTCCTGCCTTGATGCGTCAACAGGTCAAATGGTATCTTCTTCAAATCTCCCTACCAGGGGAGGCAGCTCTGATTCTCACTGCCAGAGGCTCCCCAAATCGTAGCTCAGCCCTCCCACCTAGGGAGCCCTGGACTAGACGCACAGCCCATTCCTCTGCAGAGCCCACTCAGCCTCTATTCGAGAGGCGTCCACGTGGGGTTGTTCAAGAGCAGAGAGGAGGCAGGAGGAAACCCAAGCAGTGCCTGGAGCTTTTCCTGAGGAAAGACATATTCCTGCCACAGGAGGGCCAGAAAGGGTGTGCTGCCGGCGGGGCGGGGGGGGTCAATGAAGAGTGGCCAGGGTGCAGAGGTCTTGTCCCTCTGCCAATACTGATCCACCCTGGGCAGGACACTCGAATGGCAGAGCCGGAAGGTGCCTTTTGGGGAGGTTCCCCAGACCATACTCTGGTTTGCTGATTTGCTAGAGGGACTCCCAGAATTCAGCAAACTCACTTCACTGACAGTTATGGTGGATCCCAGGAGAAGGTACAGATCTCAGTCAGCAGAGGGAAGAGCAGGTGGGGCAGGGTCTAGGAGAGACCAACCGTAGCTCCCAGCTGTCCTCTGCAGTCATAGGGATGATACTTATTTCTCCAGCAACACCTCACTGACCCAGGGAGCTCTCCTGAGACTTGGGTCCAGGGTTTTTACTAGGAGGTGGGTCACATAGACATGACAGGTCATCCACATAGCTGACCTTAATCCCCTGCCCCTCATGGTCCAAGATCCCCACCATAAATACCACTCTTAGCCTGTCTGGCATGACCCAAGACCCCAGGTAAGTAGGCTTTCAATAGGCAGGACCCTCCAAGAGCCTAAGGACCCTTCCAGGAGCTGGGGGCCAGGCCACACTTCCTTTGGATGAGATTAATCCTTTACCACACAAAAGGGCTGCTCTGTGGATACCCTGAAGTGGTGCACGAAATCCCGCATGCATGGCCAGCATTTTCTAACCACTGTGTCCATGGCTCCCAGCAGCACTCGAACACAAATGTGACCCCAAAGATGCTAAGTGACTGTGTTCTGTGAGGTCCTTCCCACCCCAGGGAATTGAGGGATGCAAATTAGGGTCAAGAGAAGGAGCTTTGACTCCAATAACCCACCACCACCTTTCTTACCTTTGAATGGCTCCCAGGGCTGAACTCCAAGAACCTGAGCATCTGTCCCCAGAGTTTAAGGAATCAGGCTGATCAGCCCTCATTTTCTTTTCCTCTTTTTTTTTTTTCTGTACTAGAGATTGAATTCAGGGGTTTTTGTTTTGGTTTGGTTTTTGTTTTTCATTTGTTTGTTTGGTGATAGAGCCTAAGTTGGGAGGTTGATGAGGCTCGAACTTTCGATGCTCCCGCCTGAACCTCCCAGACTGCTAGAATTACAAGCGTGGGCCACCACACCCAGCTCATTCCCTGTTTTCTTTCAGCTGAACCCCAGATGCCTGGGACTCTACTTTCCTAGGAATTCAGCCGTTACTCCACATACCCTGTGGCCATTTCTCCCAAGTAGGTATTTCCACCAGGACCCTCAGCTTCCAAAAACTTTTGTGAAGGACAATTTTAGAAGCCTGGGCTCAAGTCCCAACCAGGGAGGCCACCAACAAGTCGTGCTGGCCCCAAGCCCCGCCCCTGCCAACCTGGCAGCCAGTGGAGCGAACTCAGCTCCTGGCCTGCGATCCCTGCCCCAAGACAGGGGCTTGTGCTTGGCTGAAAGTTTGGGCTGAAGGACGCTCCTTTCCAAACCCCAGCTCTGATATTTACACAAAGTCTGAAATTAATGCAGAGAAAACTTCCAAGTTCCCCAGTCTGGAGCGGCAGGCTGAGAACAGGAGGGGGCAAGTCCCACCTACCAGGGTTTTTCCACCGAGAAAACAGTGCCATGTGGATGTCCTGGGCGGGCGAAGCTGGAGACATGGATCCTTGCTGTGCTTCCCACTTCCAACCGCGATTCCTGAGAAATCGAAATGAGGGAGGAGAGCAGAGATGGGGAGGGCCCAATGGTGTTGAGCCAGCCTCACCCCGGCGAGCACCCTTCTCCACACATCGGCTTTGAGTCCGCAATGGCTGCAGCCACCACGACCCACCCCCAGCCTTGGGAAGAGCCACCGCAGGGTGGGAGTCACCCCTTCCAATCCTGGACGCCCCTCACTCCCGGACCTCAGAACTGCAGCCTCTCTCGGCCTCATGGGCCAGTGCTGAGTCCTCTTTTGTCCATTTCCCCAGCCTGGGTGGGCTCCAGGCTCCCCCGAAAGCACCCCCTCACTGGCCTTCCTGAGGCTCCTCCTCAGGGCCAAGGCCAGAAGGCCTTGTCACCTCTAGGGTGACCCTACAGACACTTTCTCAGGCTTACCACACTTTCTGTCCCCAGACTGACTGAGAAGGGACATTGCCTCTTCCTTCTGCTCCATTCACTTGGTCATTCATTCATTCCTTCACCAAATACTTTGTGCCAGCAGCAAGAAGAGCAGACAGAGCCCTCGCGGAGCAAGTCTCCTGCTAGGAAGGAGACAACAGACAAACCGGACTTTCAAAGCAGAGTAACGCAGGGAAGGGGAAGCGTGGCATGGGAGCAGGGGAAGAGGAAGGGACAGATCGGCCAGGAAGGGACATTTGAACTGTGACTGGAGTGATGAGAAGAGGGCAGCTGGGAGAGATCCAGAAGTGTGTGCCAGGGAGAGGAAGAGTGGGTATGAGAGCCTCAGGAGGGGACAGGGCTCAGGGTGTGGGGACGGAGGGGTGACGAACAAGCAGGAGCAGGGCAGGTCGTGCGGCCATGGAAGGAGCTGAGCACTCACCCGCTCTGGAACTTCACAGGCCAATTCCCTGTGCTCTGGCTGCCCCTTTCCACCTAAGCTCAGCACCCCGCTCATTCAAGATCCCTGTGTGAAGCCGGGCATGGTGAGAGATGCCTGTTACCCCACCCTTCTGGGACGCTGAGGCAGGACTATGCCAGGTTCAAGCCCAGCCTGGGCAAAAGAGCAACTCACCACACCTTTGTCTCAAAATTTAAAAATCTGAAAAGGGCTGGGGTAGCTCAGTGTGAGAGCCCTGAATTCAATCCCAAGTACTGCCGAAATCAAATCCTCGTATTATACGAGCTGCCCTCCTCCCAGCCCCTTCTGCAACCCTCCCAAGAGGACCAGAGTTCCCAGCAGCCTTACAAACCCTGAGGGAACAAGAGGAAGTTTAGAGCAAGTTGCCCAGGAACCAGGAAATCAGCAATCTCCAGAGTGCTCACCCATGCAAGTTCTAGCCAGAGTTGACAAGAAATTTTCCCAAGGTCACCCAGGTAGCAAGTTTTAAGTCAGTGGTATGAATTCAGGTTGAGTTCTTAAATGCCCATCTTCTATCATGCCAAGTTGTCTCCTGACAGTCTCAAGAAGAGGCCGTTTCTGGAAATTGCAGAGCATGGGTCCCAAGTGGACCTCAGAGAGCAGATGAAAAACAGCCAATCTGTTGTCACAACAGATCCAAGTCAAAGATGTCGCTAGTGAGAACGCATGTCCAAGGGGGAGGGACTGAGGCAGGGACGGCAGATAGAGGAGAAATCAGTGCCACCTTCTGCAGCATTTTCATGCAGCCTGCCTGAGCCAGGCCTGCTCTGTCCATTTCCCCACTGGGGAATTTGGGATGCTCCTACCTGAGCCTCCCAGAGTGCTGGGATATAGATGTGTACCACATGCATGGCTAGCAACACCTGTCTTTACAGAGTTCTTTTAAGGTGGCGATATAGTCTACGTGTAGCTCCAAGCACGGTTCCTAGTCCACAACAGGCGCTTCCTAAAGGTGGTCCTGCACGTGAAGCTACTGAATAGATTCTGAGTGTAGAGAGGAGCGGCTGTCCTCAGTGACCACAGAGAAGCTGTGACGAGCCTGTGTCCCCAGGGACAGTGGTGGCAGCATCAGGCTCTCACTCGATAGCCCCACAGTGCTATCTGAACCTGCATCCTGCATCCGGTCTCCGGTGAGTGCAGGACCCTCCCCCTGCAGGGCTGTTCTTGCTGACTGTCATAGCAGGTCAGATGGCATAGCCTGCACGTGGGTGTGAGTCCCCTGAGTTCCCATGAGCTGGCTGAGCCCAGTGCCCGTGGGGCCATCAGGGCTCACACTAGGCCAGGTGCAGGGCTGGCCATGCATGACACAGGTGTGCTCTGTCCTCAATAAGGGGGTCCAGCCACAAAGGTTCAGGAAGGAGATGGCATTCGCAGAGGCCATGAAGCATCTCAGTTCATTCCCACAGTGGACCATCCATCCTATCTGTCAGCCCTTCAGATAGAAGGAAGCTGAGCCTCCCAGAGCCTGAATAACTGAGCCAGGGCTATGTGCTCACTGTCGCTGTCAGAGCTGTGATTGAACAAGAACCATCTTACTCCAAAATCAGTCCCTTCTCACCACACAGCACTGCCCTCCCTGGCCATCCCCATTCTCATAAGTGGTTGGCCTCTGGGAAGCTGAGGCAGGAGGATTGCAAATTCAAGCCCAGCCCAGGCAACTCAGTGACTTAGCAAAAGTGTATCACAAAATTTCTTTAAAAATTTTTTTAAAGGGATTGGGAATGTAGCTCAGTGTTCGGGTCTTAGGTTCGATTCCCAGTACACAGAGAGAGAGAGAGAGAGAGAGAGAGAGAGACCACAAGGCAGGATGTGCTTCTTAATAAAATGGTCCTAACAACAGAAATGACAAGGGCCATGGGCAGAAAGGAGAGTTTAAGGCCAGGGTTCTGGGGAGAGTTTCCAGAAGGTAGCGTTTGTGCTGAGCCTCTAGGAAGCTCAGGTGCTGGCATGTTCTGGGAGGATCAAACTGCGTGAGCGAAGGAAGGAGGGACAGGGCAGGGCCAGACCCCACCCCGGGGCCCAAACAGCTCACAGCTGGAAGACAATGCCAAGGCCAGGTTAGCAGAGGGCATTGAGCAGCCAGGGTAAAAGTATGACTTGGAGGGAGGACCCCTCCGTGTCTTATTTTCCTTCTCCCGGTTCCACTGCCTAGGCCTGACTCCTCCCGCAGTGCCTCCCCACCCTCCCAATGGCCCCCATGTCGGAGATGAATAATCATACAACCAGTTCACTAGGTCACAGTGAGGACCCCAAGCCCACTAGCTCCTGTGAGCAGCCTCTGGGTGCAGCTTGGCCTCCACCCCCAAGGCCATGAGTGACTGAGGGAACCTTTGTCCCCTTTGTGGGCTCCTCTGCCTTCCCACAGAGCTGCTGGTGGTGAATCCTAGATAAAGCAAAGGCCTAGACAAGACTGGGGCCCACTGCAGAGGCCTTCCTCAGAGGGCCCACTTAATTACCTTAGAAGAAGGAAAATACTCATGGAATTTAATTTAAGATGTTTCTGCGATGATAGAGCAAGTGATAAATTTTTAATAAAGAAATCAAAGATATGGAAAAAGTTGAGAGAAAATAAGGACTTGGGGGAAAGGAGAGAGAGAAGAAAATATACAGAATATTAGGCACAAAACATTCACAAAAATCACCCTCACAATTTCCCTGGGAGTAAATCTTGCATTGTGATTCCAGTTTACAGATAGGAAGACTAAACTGAGCCCTCAGGTGGGTTCCCCGGTGAGTCAGGGAAGAGCAGGGACTGGATCCAGCTTCCTGGCTCCTCCTCCCCACACTCTCTCACCATGTCTAGAAATGATGTGGAATATTCCAGCTGTCCTTGGAGCCACTCTGGCCAGATGTGCCCTTGGCGTGGGCCCCTAGCGCTTTCCCTAGGATGACTTTGGAATCGCAATGTCAAGTCCACATGCCACTGCTTTTCTGCACAGATGTCGGGGGGGGGGGGCGGATCTTGTCCATGAGCAAGTGACAAGAGAACAGGCTCTGTAAAACCCTAGCCTGCAAATAAGTGATGAACTTGAGGCCTGCAGCCAGGAGAATGGATGACCTTGGTCCTTTCCAATCCCATCTCCAAGACTTAAGTCAGCGACAGAGCCCTTGATCACTGGTGAATTGTACTGGTCCTACTGGTCTACCAAATCCCAGCATCCACTCGCTCATCCAACAAGGATGTGTCACATACCATTGTCCGTTGTTCTCAGGACTAAATTAACACAGAGTATTTTTTTTTTAATTTGAGTCTTGATTTTCAACTCCAAGGAAGTCATAATCTGCGTGGTACGGCAAAGCTATCAAGTAGAAAAGCAGAAGAGAAAGTTGAATGCTAAAGTGGGTGTGGAAGTGGCAGAATGAAGGGGCAGGGATAATGGATAGGGCTGCATGGAGGAGACAGTGTCCTCAGGGTTCAGGAAGGGAGGGCAGGCAGGCAATCAGGCAGGCCAGCAAATGCTCACTAAGGCAACGCACAAAGATGTGACTGGCTCTGGCTGGGCAGGAAACATGACATGAAGATGAAGATGATCCAGCCCTGCCTTAGGGTTGATAGGTTGGCTTTGGTTGCAGAGTCATCTTCAGTGGACCCAGAGACAAGCAGGACAGAGCAAGAGATGGAGAATGAGTCTTCATTAGGTGGAAAAATAGAAAAGCCTGTTATCCTCCAGACTTTTCTATAGTTACTGTGAGTTTCTTCCAGTTTTGAGCTGGTAAATCTACTCTCAAAAAGGAAAGAAAAAAATAAAATTCTCCCTTCACATATAGCATTTGCCAATTATTGTGGTGTAAACACTCCCACAGAGAGTTACCAGTGTGACATCACTGAATGCAGACTTGGGAAAGAGATGCTTAAAATCTGCTCTGGCGAGCTGGATCTCACACACAGGTTCTCCAGTGAGCCCCAGGGAGGGACCATCCTGGCTCTCACTCCTCTGGGCTACATGTGGGCTGTGACCTTCTTCCCAAAGCCATGTGTTGTTTGAGTTGCCATCACCAGTCAACACAGCCATGCACACCACAAGCAAGCAGCTGAAATTCATCAGCTGTCAGCAGGGGGTGGGTGCTGTGTGGGTGCTGAGCCAACGTGGGCCTCTGGTCTCCTATGTCTCCTCCCTCTGAAGCCCAGGACTGATGACTGTGAGATGCTTGGGCCTCCCTGGGTTCACTCAGCAGCAGCCACTTCCTACACCCTAGGCCCATGCCAGGTGCCACACTGGGTGCCAGGGAGACTGGCAAAGGAGCTCCACAAAGTCATCACCCCTCGAAGCTCACAGATGCTGGGATTATGAGAGCCAGGCCGTAGAACTCGGCTCCAGGTCTAGCTCCACCTCTGATATTCTATGTGGCCCTGAGTGGACCATACAGCCTCCTTGGGCCTCAGTTCCTTCATCTGTAGAATGAAGGAGTTGGACTTGATGTTCGCTGAGATCTGTCCTGGTTCTGGTTGTCTGTGGCTCTGAGAAGGAAAAGGAGCCCTGGATGTCACATAAGGAAGGCTGGCTGAAGGGACCAGGAATGTCCCCATGAGAAAACCACAGGTAGGGTGGCAGAGTGGAGCCCTGAAGTACTGTAATGGGTCCTATGAAAGAAGCGTGGCTGTGTTTTGCGTCCCCTGATGGTGGAAGCTGTGGGTGGAGATTAGATCAGGGTTGGGCCCTTTCTGCTGCATCCTGGAAGATCTGAGCTCTGACAGAGCATCCCAGCGAGGGAATGGGCCTCCTGGTGAGGGAGTGCACGTGTCCCTCCACAAAGAGGCTGAGGGGCCCCAGCCTGCACCACCTGGGCTGATCCCTGGCAGGGAGGCTGTGATGGCAACAAGCCATCGTCCTCTGTTCTGAAGGAACAAAAACAGGCACTGGGTGCAGTGTTCTGGGGAAGAATGGAAACGGGAGACAAAAAGTGGCAATCACAGAAGCACATAGCCAAGTAGATGCCCAAGGAAAAAGACTAGAAGAAAAGCTACCAAAACACAAATGATGATTGGGTTAGAAGACCACGGTGATGCTTTTTTCTCCATTTCCCTATTTTCCAAATATTTGGGAGGGCGGTGACATTATTTTTGAGACAAAAACAGCTTTATTCTTTATGGAAAATCATCTAGCCCAACCCTCAACCCAGGACAGGAAGCCTCTAAACTCTCTTCCAGGCCCACTCAGGCCTGCTAGGCGGGAGGCGAGAGGAAGTGGTGTGGTCGGGTGGGTAACGCCGAAGACCCAGAGAGAACTGACTGGTGCCATGTCTCACTCCATCTGTGAAGCCACTGTGGGTTGGTTCCCGGGTGACCGAGCACTAGGTGGCCAAAGGGACCAGGACCAGGTCCCACTGGGTTTCTACTGCTCATGTTTCCGAAGGAGGAATTCAGGGCAAGTAAGGTAAGGGCATAGTTGGCCAAGGGCAAAGCCGTGGTGGAGTAGATAACCATGGCCTAGAGTTGTTCTGATGTGGAGGTGAAGGGTGTCCCTGACCCTAGCTGCGGGCCTCACACACTCGAGCACACACACAGCTTGCTCAACTGGAGAGCCCGTGTGTGCCTGCTTTCCCCTCCCATGCCTCCTGATAATTATATCCAAGGAAGCCATTTCCTTGGTGACCACCCCATCTGTGACACCGGGCTGTGGGGCCTGGCCTTCACCAGCTTCCCCTCCCCACTCCCCTCACTCTCCGTGCCAGCCCACCCAGGCCTCGCTCCCTCAGCCCTCGGCTTCCTCGTTTCCCGGGGAGAAAGACTTCCCTGTCTGGCCCGGCTGCCCAAGCCACCTCCCCCTCACATAAAAGCCTCAGTGAGTCTCTGAGACGCTGGAACCCAGACAGAATGGAATTTCTCCCTATTTTCTTTACAGCTGAGAAAACACACACAAACACAAGAGCATATTTATTGCGATATTTCTATCCCGAAGTTTGTCTTTAAAAAGAAGAAATAAAATTGGTTTCTTTGCCCAGTCCACTGCCGCCACCCCCACTCTCCTCAAACCCCTTTGCATTCCTCCCTCATTTCCTGATCCAGGCCAGGGAGAAAAACCGCACCAGCCCAAGTCTGCGGGCAGCACCTCCTCCCCAGACAATGGGGGCCTGTTCCAAGCGGGAAGAGGACACACAGAGCTCCCAGTGCCCCGGCTCTGGGGGAGAAAAGGCTAGGATGTTCTGAATGCAGGTCCTTGAGCTCTAGGAAGAAGGGATCTGGGCCAGGCCACACCCCACCCCAAGATGACACCTTCCTGTCTGGCCCCCGCCTCCCAGGGCCCTTGTTCCCAGCCATGCCTGGTCACCCTGGCTCTCACCAGAGCCATTGGCTCAGTGGACCCTCGGAGTCCAGACCCGGAGGTCTAATTTTTTTTTTTTTTTTTTGGTACCGGGGATCGAACTCCGGTCCTTGCGCTTGAGTAGCAGGCGTCGAAACCACTGAGCTCAATCCCCAGCCCTCCAGTGATATTTTTTAAAGACAGTGTCTAAGCAGAAAAACCCTGGAGAAGAAGCAAGGGGCCACTTCTCAGGACTGGGAGACTCCAGACTTCCTGTGGTGTGAGGGCCACGTGCACCTACCCTGGTGACCCTTTCTTTTCTCGGGTGACAAAGTGCGGCCTGAGGGGTGGGTTGGTGGTAGGAAGATGTCACAGTCAGTGGGCAGGAGAGGATCACCAGAACCTGGGCCTGGTGTTCCTGGCTGGGAACACAAGTGACCTCTAGCTCCCCTTCCCTTGGGGTGCTCCTTCAGCCCCAAATCCATCTAGCTTCAGCTGAAGGTCACTGGGCCAACAGCGACCCCTGCTGGGCTGCCAGATTCTGGGGCAGCCAAGGCTGGGATCTTGGCTGCCCTGTCAGCCCTGGCGCCCCATCCATGGCCTCCATCCATGGCCACTAGGCCTCCTTCCTCTGAGCCATAAATTCTCCCTCATCCCACTGGAAAGGAGGGCAGGGCAGGGTGGGCACCAGGGCAGGTGCACCTGACCGAGCAACCTGGGACCTCACTGGGTACAGGCCATGGAGTGTAGGTCACGGGTATAGGCAGTATGACTGCCACCCTCAAGGCCATTGGTCCAGGCCAAAACCCCTGTCATTTCCACAAACAACCAGGATGACACCATTGCCCTGGTTGATGGCTCATAAATTCAGCTGAGTCTTTTTGGGGTTTGCCTGTGTCAGCCACTGGGTATTGTCCCTGATGTATACACAGCATGATGGTCGTTCAGCAGCTGGCAATAGGAGGGTTTGTCTTTCTCACTCACATGAAGTCCTGTTTGGGCCACCAGGAGGGCCACGGGGATCCCACTTCGCTAAGTAACAGATCTCTTTGTCCCGAAGCCTATCCAAAGTCTCCCCAGCTGGAACCTGGGCCTGGAATCTCACCTGAAACGGGCACAGACAGTCCCTGGATTTGAATTTGATAGCAGGCCCAGATGCCAGTGGGGAGGCTGGGCCATTTGTCACTTCTCTGGGCCTAGGGAACATAGAGTTATGTTTCTCTGGGGTATCCTAATTATGTATATATTTGAAAATACGGTGAATGAATGTTTAATTAAAAGAAACTTATTACAGTAAAAAAAACGCATTGCCAAGAATGATGGGATGTGTTTGAAGCAAGGGGGAGCATACTGAGCATCGGGAGGGGAGTTAATGGCAACAGGTCCTACTATAATAATTTTTATTTAAACATTTGCAGTATGTCTTGATCACCACATATTATACATATTTTAACGCATCTCTTAACAATAGGGATATGTTCGAGAACTGCATCATTAGGCAATTTTGTCATTGTGTGAGCATCACAGAGTGCACTCAGCTGACACAGATCATCACTCTACATGGCCTCTTAATGTGACCAAGGGTCACAGTAAAGACAAGGTGCATGAGGCTGCTGCCCCGTGGCACAATGCACTGCTTTATAGTAAGCTTGTTTGGTAAGTTGAAGAAGTACATGGTCAAATAATGACAAAAATTGTAGTATAGGAAATACCTAAAGGAGTAAACTAGTAGTTTATTATCATTACCATATATATTTGCCTGTGCTATACTTTTCTATTGCTGGCAACAAAGTAGATTTATTTACACCAAGAACTACCATCAGATATGGTGCCCATTACTGACAGAAATGTTGTTATGCAACACATGACTCTGAGAGACAGACACAGAGAGAGAGAGAGGGAGGGGGGGGAGGGAGATTATAAGGAAGTCATTCACACAATGATGGAGGCCAGCAGCTCCCAAGTTCTGAAGGCAACTTGGAAAGCTGGAGACCCAGGTGAACTGATGTTTCAGTTAAGTCCAAAGAGAAGAAAACAATGATATCCTAGCTGGAAGGACATCAGAGATGAAGAATTCTCTCTTCTTCAAGGGAAGTTTCATGTTTTGTGCTATTCAAGCCTTCACCCAATGAGATGAGGCCCACCCACGATGGGGAGGAGAACATACTTTACTCAGTCTACTAATTCACATGTTGATCTCATCCAGAAGCACCTCCCAGACACACCAGAACAGTGTTTGAACAAATGTTCGGGTCCCTGTGGCCCAGGCAAGTTGACAGCTAATGCCAACCGTCACAGGATTCATTCAGAGAAGTGCTCGCTGGTGGGAAGGTGGGAGTCTGGGTCCATTGCCACAGTGCCTGGAATTAAATGCAAAAATGAGTGAAGGTTCTGTGAGGAAAGAAATGCTTTCTCCAAGGATGGTCTGGATGTGATTGCAGGTCCTGGGCACATGGTAGCTCGCTTGACCCTCCTCCACATCACCACGTCTCAACCGTCCCAATGACACCTCTGCCTCCCTCTTTCAGGTGAACTATGACCACTTTACTCTTGGTTTTTGTGACTCTGAGGGTCATCACGGCTGTCATCTCAGAAGAAGCTTCAGGTAAGGACATGCCCACACGTAGCCCATTTATCCAGTAGGTGCTGCGTGCTAGGTCCTGAGTCCTGGGTGCCGAACCTGGTGCTGCTAGTCTCAGGGACACAATTTCCCCTTCCCTGTTTTTCCTATCCTTGCTGCATTGGGAGAACCTTACCGAGACCATTGGCTCCTGGCCGCCTGCCCTGTACCAAGGACAGTGAGGAGACAGCTCCTGGCTGGACCTCTGCCCGGTACTTTTCTCCCAAGGTTGCACCACACACTGTGCACACAGCTGAGGGTGGGACCCAGAGAGACCAACAGAGATGAAACTTCTGGGGAGGAGCTGGGAGCATCAGAAAAGCCTACAGTGATGCGCTGGTCTCACACACAGGGCAGGCACCTGCTCCATTCCTGATAACCAAGCCCCCACTCAAATGAACAAAGCAGCCTCCACTGACCCCAAAGTGGAATGAATCCCCCTTAGACCAGACATGGGAGAGTCCTGTGCAGGTCCATGTGACATAGGACCTTCCCCTGCCCCGGCCCGCCCCCAAGGAGTGCAAGTCTGCTGGGCAAGGGGACCCATCCACCACACTCTCAGGGTGCAGGGTGCCCAAATTCCCTGTCCACATGGGCCCTGGCCACTTCCAGGATCACCAAGGAACCCTCCCCCACCCCAGAGGATCACACCCCCCAAGGCCCCAGGGAGGGGCTGAGAAGTGGCTGTTTGCACAGGGTGTGGATGCACGCAAGATCCCCCTCTCAGTGCAAAGTCAGTGGGCCACTAAGATGGGCCCTGGTTCCTTCTCTCTCACCAGGCCACTACATCCCAATACAAAGCTCTAAGGAATCTAAGAATGCTAAATTTGAATCTGGCTGTTTAGGTCATTTTGAAAAACACCATTGCCAAGTAGGAAGATACCTCATCTTGCTTCATAATTAGCTGGCATGATTGATCACTTATGATCTATGGCCCTCCCTTGGTACAGTTGTTCTAGGTCCCACAGATACCCAGCCCCTGCCAGGTATGGTAGTGTACATCTAGGAAACTGAGGCAGGAGGATCATAAGTTCAAACTCAGCCTGGGCAACTTAATGACTTAGCATGACTTTGTCTCAAAATAAAAAGTAAAACATGCTAGAGATGTAGCTCAGCACAAACACCCTTGATTCAATCCCCAGCACTACAAAAACACAAAAAAACCCTCCCCATCCCTGGGGGTGGTGTGTTCACACCAGGGAACCACTAGAGTTGGCTGAGAGCTTTGGCAGCTGCCCAGCCGGGCTCTGCAGTGACCTTGAACTGTCCCCTTAGACCCACCGATGGTGCCAGGGCTGAGTGTTCAGATGGAGGTGTCTTGGCAGGGGCTGGTGGTGACTGTCCAGACATCAAAGACCACAGCTGAGCTCCACACATTCCTGCTGCCCTCTCCTCGCCCTGCCACTCCCAGCCACCTGCAAACACCTGAAGTGTTTTGACTTCCACCTGTAGGCACTCCTAAAAGTCAGGGTTCCATAAATTTAGGCCTGGACATGAAAGGTGCTACTTTTGGGAAAGCTGTTTCCCTCCCATGGCAGGCACACCTTTTCCTTCAAAAAGGACTTGGTAAACACAGTGCTTCTTCCCTACCAATGTGCCGCACAGTTCTCATGGAGTCGATCCTACCCCACGCTATGAACCCATCTGACTGAAATGTCTGATCTTCTGAGACTTTTTCACCCAGTTGCCCTACCTAACACTCCTAGCAGATGTCCCCAAATGGGACATATCCGCAAAGTTTTGTGCCTCAGCTTTAAAAGTTGTGTAGAATATTTTCATACCCCACAATAATTTTTTAGACCCCAGTACAATTCTCTTCTAAAATCTTTGAGTCAGGCCATCACTCCGAGAAGATGGATCCTGTTTATCCTATGGCTTGGTGTCCCCGTGGGGAACCCCAGTTTGAGAAACAGAGGCAGTCCACACTGTGGTGTCTCCCCTTCCCTCTTCTGGAATGCTTTTCTGGCTGTACAGTTTGTGACCCACGGTGCAGACATTAGGGATCTTGCAAAGGGCGTAGCAAGGCTTCCTGGGGATTCCCAGCCCTGGTCACAGACAGCACACCCACAGCATTTTGCTTTTCTAGGGGACTGGGGGAGGCCGGGCGGTCCTCTCAGGAACTAACAGGCCTGTCCCTCACCCCACCTTCTCCAGCAGGCCATGACAGTGCGCTGAGTGTGAGCATCCCCCAGCCGTCCCCGCTGAAGGTCCTCCTGGGGACCTCACTCACCATCCCCTGCTACTTCATCGACCCCGTGCACCCCGTGACCACCGCCCCCTCCACTGCCCCCCTTTCCCCGAGGATCAAGTGGAGCCGCGTTTCCAAGGAGAAGGAAGTGCTCCTGCTGGTGGCCACTGAGGGGCATGTCCGGGTCAACAGCGCCTACCAGGACAGGGTCTCGCTGCCCAGCTACCCAGCTATCCCCAGCGATGCCACCTTGGAAATCCAGAACCTGCGCTCGAACGACTCTGGGGTCTACCGCTGCAAGGTGATACATGGGCTCGAGGACAGCGAGGACAGCTTGGAGGTCATGGTGAAAGGTGAGGGCCCCCACAGGGACACCACTTCCCCCGCAGGAAGAGCCAGGTGGTGTCCTCACAGTGAGGACCAGGCCGGCTGGCACCTCGGTCAAGCGACTCAGCCTCGGTTGCCTCTCTGGGACACTGGGCTGGTGATACTGTTCTCTGTGGACTTGAGTGGGGGCTAAGTACTCCCTGGCCACGGTCACAGGGAGATGGCAGATTGGGCTTCATGACAAACCCTTGGCTCAGTGGGCTTTGGTGACCATGTTCATTTTGCCGATAAGTGAACTGAGATTGAATGTTTTGCCTAAAGTCACCTTGGAAATGGGTCGGATGTCTTTTACCTCCTTCTCCTCCTCCTCCTCCAACTCCTCCAACTCCTCATTCTCAATTCCAGAAGCCAAAGAAAGGGCTGAAGATCCCCTGGTCTCCTTTCTCTAGCAGAGTGACCCTGGGCTGAGGGCGCTGGGGACCCTGAGTGTTTCTTTCCTGAAAAACAATCCGGGATCCTGGAGTAACAAAGAAACTAATGAAGGAGTAGATTTTAGTTTAGTTCAAAGAACTTTCTGATTATCAGAATTATAAGTATTCAAAAAGAAAGGCCAGGGCTGGGGATTTAGCTCAGTGGTAACCCTAAGCACAAGGTCCCAAGTTCGATCCCCAGTACCCCCCCAAAAAAGACAAAACAACAAAAAGAAAGGCCTTGTGAGGTAGTGAGTTCCCCATTAGTATTCCAACAAGGTCACAGGGACCACATGCAAAGGTGGAGAGGGGGTCCATGCTCCTAAGGGTCCCCTGACCATTGCTGTGATTCTGGGGGGCCTCATGGCCAGCGCTGCCCCTCACCAGGTGTCTCACCATGTGCCTCTGGCAGGCATCGTGTTCCACTACAGAGCCATCTCCACGCGCTACACCCTTGACTTCGACAGGGCCCAACGGGCCTGCCTGCAAAACAGCGCCATCATCGCCACGCCAGAGCAGCTACAGGCCGCCTACGAGGACGGCTTCCACCAATGTGACGCCGGCTGGCTGGCTGACCAGACTGTGCGGTGAGTGACCACCCACCAGCCTAGCGGAGGGACTCGGGGCTGGGCCGGCTCCTAGGCCACAGCACAGGGGGTAAGGGATCATTGCCCAGCACTGGCCTCATGCCAGGGTGATACCCGGCCAGCCTTGACTAGGGCCAGGCCATGCCTAGCCCAACACAAGGCCCCATCCCAGACCCTGGTCATTCTCTCTCCGTGGAGGAATGGCTGCCACTCATTACTCTTTTGCCCAGGCTTCTTCACTTACTGGTTTAGCCTGATCTGGCCTGGTCTGGTCTGGTCTGGTTTGGTTTGATTCTGTTTTATTTGGGTCCTGGAATTGAATCCAGAGCCTTCACACTGAGCTACATCCACAGCCTTTTAAAAATTTTTAATTTTGACACAAGGTCTCGGTAGGTTGCTAAGTTGCCCAAGCTGGGCACAAACTTGTAATCTTTCTGCTTCAGCCTCCTCCTGAGTGCTGGGATTGCAGGCATGCTCCACCGCACTCAGTTTGTTTTGGGTTTTTTTAACTTTGATATTTTATATATTTTTGTAAATCACCTTATGTTCTTGTTTCTAATACATCAAGACATATATACACTAAGCTTCTTGTGCATCTTTTAACTGCGGGCAGCGCCCAATAGATAGCAAAGCAGCACTGAGAGAGCCCTGCCCTGGAGGTGTCAGCACAGTGCTGTGAGCTGAGAGGACAGCTGTACTCTTCATTCCAGACAGATCATAGCTCTAACCCTTGAAGCCAGAACCTCTAAGCCTCAGGAGGAGACAATGCAAAATGGCTTTATGATCTCACATACCAAAGAGAGCTCAGGACACAAAAAACACTAAACATAAGAACCAATACATGAGCAAAGTAAGACAAAAGCCCAGCATGGTGTAAGAGCCCACACTTTGACCTCAGAAAGAGCTGGACTCAAATCCCAGTGCTGGCACTGGAAGCTGTGTGACCCTGTATCTCTGGGACCCCATTTCTTCAAAAGTAAGATAGAGTTTTATAGCACCTGCCTCCTTAAGTTGATGTGAGTCGAGTGATACAGAGCAGGATCCAACAATCTACAGCCCACAGGCCAAATACAACCCCTTGCTTCTGAAAGTAAAGTTCTATTGGAACACAGGTGTGCCCCCGCTGGGTTATATATTGTCTGTGGCCACTTTATGCTACCATGATAGCTATGTTATGGGATGGAAAATCTCAGGAGAGTTGTTTCCAGGCTCTTTGCATCCTGAACAAAGATAGGACAGAGGAGTAACGTTTATTAAAGGGAAAGAAGTGAAAGTACACTCCTCAGGGTGGCAGTGGCCAGTGAGAAGAGTCCCCATACCTAGTGCCAGGCACTGGGTCTCTGAAGGTCCTGGGGTTATGGGAGGAGCCACAGCTGGGGATGGACAGGAGTCATGACCCGGTGGGACACCTGACTCAGCCACCTATCTAGAGGGAGAGTTTTTGACCATACAAGGATTTAGAGGAAGTGTCATGGTGCCCAATGCCCATAGGGAGGGAGAGTCAAAACTGCAATGGAAATAAGGTTGGTCATGGGCCAGAATTTGATGTTTGTGGCTTTGTGCATGCCTAGGGGTCTTGGGGGTACAGCATAACCTTTCTCTGTTGGTTTCCTGATGTTTTGACATAGCAGTCCTTGCTCTGTCTGATATCTCAATTCTTGCCCAAGCCCTCTGGGTTGTTTACTTGTTCTTGCACTACCTCCTACCTCAGTTGAGTGGTCACCCCAGAGACTCTGTGGGCTGAAAAACCTCTGGGAGTCTGAGGCAGCAGGATCAAAAGTTCAAGCCCAGCCTGGGGAACTTGGGGACTTGGCAGGTCCCTGTCTCAACATAAAAAAGGTCCAGAGATGTAAATCAATGCAAAGGCCCTGCATTCAATTCCCAGTACAAAATTTAAAAAAATTTTAAAGACTTACTATCTGGCATTTTACAGAAAAAGTCTGTAGAAAAAGTCTGATAGAGTCTCTGGTACCAATAAATATTCAGTAAAAGGCTGCTTGCCTTCACTCCTTAATACCTGTAGAAGCAGAGAGGACAGAAATGGAGCAGACACAGTCAAATTCAATCGATGCTCCGGTGCCCTTCCTCCTGCAAGGGACAAGGGGACAGGGCACAGACCATGGACGCCCCTCTGTCCCAGGGTCAAAGTCCACTTCGGATCCCTGACAGGTACCCCATCCACACTCCCCGGGAAGGCTGCTACGGAGACAAGGATGAGTTTCCTGGGGTGAGGACCTACGGCATCCGGGACACCAATGAGACCTATGACGTGTACTGCTTCGCTGAGGAAATGGAGGGTGAGGCTGCCCTGCCCATATCCTCCTCTGCCATAATGGGATTGAGGGTGCTACCAGTCTAGATCCCTCTGCCCACCAGGGAGAAGGAGAGGGGCTCAGTGACCCCAAACGTCTGCAAACTGTCTAATGTCACTACTGGGCCCACAAGCTTTTGTCGAAGGAAGACATTCACCTGGCACTGCCCCTCCCAGGCAAGATTCTGGTCTCTGACTATCAGGCCTTCAAAGCCCTGTTTTCCCATAGGAATTAGAACATTACAGATTTGCTTTGAACTGGCAACATCTTGATGCATAGAAGGCGCCCCTAGTGGTGGAAAGCTGCCCAGCAGGCGGCCAGGCAAAGACGCTTTTAGCCATGAGATTTTCCTCCCGGTTTTCACATTTGTTCCACGAATGGCCATTTTCGCTGCTTTTCTCTTGGTCCCCTGTTTTAGTGCTGTCCTGCCCCAAAAGCCCAGAAAAAAAGATGGAAAAATGGGAGATTAAGGGCAAGATCTGAGATACGGACTTGTGGGTTCAAACCTAGAGGAAAGACATAGGTCGCTGGGAGACTCAGGCCAGGGAAGGTGGGAGGGAGACCTCACCAGGCCACCCGTGTCCTGCACAGGCGAGGTCTTCTATGCGACGTCCCCGGGAAAGTTCACCTTCCAGGAGGCCGCCAGCGAGTGCCGACGGCTGGGCGCGCGCCTGGCCACCACGGGCCAGCTCTACCTGGCTTGGCAGGGTGGCATGGACATGTGCAGCGCCGGCTGGCTGGCCGACCGCAGCGTCCGCTACCCCATCTCCAAGGCCCGGCCCAACTGCGGGGGCAACCTCCTGGGCGTGAGGACCGTCTACCTGCACGCCAACCAGACCGGGTACCCTGACCCCTCATCCCGCTACGACGCCATCTGCTACACAGGTAGGGCTGGAGCTGGCGCGGGAGGGCTCACACCCCTGACATCAGGTCCCAGAGGAAGAGAAGGTCTTGGAAAGGGGGGGCTGGGATTTGTTTGCCCCTTCAAGAGGCCTAAGGGTATCTGAAAACTGTTTTATCAAACCTGCCCCCATTTTTGCTGGCTCCTAAGGCAGAGACGCAGGAAGCCACAGCATACCTAGCTCTGCCTGGTCAGATCCACACAGAACAAGGTTAAACGCATGCGCTTTGGAGTCAGTCTTCTCAGGCTTGAATCTCAGCTCTGCCGCCCATGACCATGCAACCGTGGGAAAGTCAAGGCTCTGAGCCTTATTGCCATGGTGTGTGTACGAGAGAGAGGGGGTTACCCTGGGGAAGACGGCAGGGGCCTGTTATGAGACCATGAGCCCACGGGAGGGCGCTTTTGCCGCCCTTCTAAAATGAATTAACCCAGCCGTTGTGAGGTATGCTTGTAAACTCAGCACTCAGGGAGGCTGAGGCAGGAGGACTGAGAGTTCCAGCGCACCCTCAGCAGTTTAGCAACTTAGCAAGACCCAGTTTCAAAATTTTAAAAAGGCCGGGATTGTAGCTCAATGTGAAAACTCTGGGTTCAATTACCAGTACTGCAAGTAAATAAAAAAATGCCGAAAATAAATATATTGAATTTAAAAGAAGGCCTAAGTGTTACTGAAAGAATAGAGAAAGTGAGGGGCTTTATTATGAAAAATTAGACTAAATTTTTAAAAACAATTTTTCTTACATATTTAACACACGTTAGATAATAAGTGCTTGTTTTTTGAGAAAAATGAATAACATAGATGATGAGTTTCAAAACTTTTTCAACAGAATTGGTTACAATGACAGACCAGTTCATGTTTTAGTTGCATAGTTTGATCTTACACAAAGAGAGTTAGTTTTGCAAAAATAACTAGGATTCTGCCCCTCCACAGCCTCCCTTAAACTCTTGGTAGTCTAACCCTCTTCGGAAGTGTCACCATATACATTTCCTCTTTAAGTAACTGGCTTATTTCTGCCCACCCCTCATTTGTCCAGGACCATGAGGCTGGCGGTTCTCCAATGCCATCTTCATCCATTTCAAGAACTACAGCCTCTGCAAGATCTGACCATTTCCCTTTATAACTGATTTACCCTGTTCCACTGGATGGCCGGTGGAGGGCTCATAAGATGGGATCAAGTAGGAAGGGCATCAGGCTTGTGACTGATTTCGGAAGCAATATGCTGATTGGCTGATATTTTGCAAGTATCTGCCAGTTCGGCCAATCTCAGCTCAAAAATATTTGGGGAAAAAATGCTGTGTCTATACTAAAGCTGTATGGACCTTTTTTCTTGCTGTTACTCCATAAACTACACAACAGCCACTGACATAGCATTCGTATTGTATTAAGTATTGTAAATAATCTAGAGATGATTTAAAGGACATGGGAGGGTGTATGGTAGGTTCTGTGCAAATAGTACACATTTTATATAAGGGACCTGAAGATTTTGGTGTCCACTCGGGGCTCTGGAATCTGTCCCCATGGATACCAGAGGACAGCTGCAGTCAGACAGCGGAGGACCTGCGTGGGCCAGGCAAGGGGCCCAGCGCCCTGGGAAGGAAGGAGGTATGGCAGAATGGTTAATGCCTGCCTTTGTGCCCTGCCCAGGTGAAGACTTTACAGACATCCCAGAAAATTTCTTCAGTGTGGGTGGTGAGGAGGACATCACCATCCAGACGGTGACCTGGCCCGATGTGGAGTTGCGTCTCCCTCGAAACATCACAGAGGGGGAAGCTCGAGGAAACGTGATCCTCACAGTGAAGCCCATCTTTGAGGTCTCCCCCACCGCCTTGGGGCCCGAGGAGCCCTTCACATTTGCCCCAGACGTGGAGGCCACGGCTACCTTCCCTGAGGCTGAGAATGAGACTGAAGAGGTCACCAGGCCCTGGGGCTTTCCTGAGGAATCCCACCGCACCGCCTTCACCCGTGAGGACCTGGTCCTGCCGATGACCATTGCCCCAGGTGCAGCAGAGGTCCCTGGGCAGCCCCGTTTGCCAGGTGGTAAGTACTCATCCCTGGGGGGACGCCTCAGGCAGGCCTATGGGTCAGGAGCCATCCTGCTGCACTTGACCTGGGACCTGGGACCAACTTCTCCTCGCTCCAGCTTTTCTCTCCTGTCTGTAAAACAAAGAGGTGTGTACCCACTTGGGGCTGCCCCTCAGCAACAGCCATCTGTCCTGACACTCTCTCCCACCTGCCAGGCCTGAGTGGGCCTCTCGGAACCTGGGGATGGAAGAGGGTTTCATAGTTAAAGACAGGCCACACCTGTCTTGTCCACTTTTCTGCCACAAATCATAAATCTCCAATGACATCATATGCGGAGTCCAGGGTACATTGAAACATACGGTGTATATTTAAATTTTTAAAAATTTTATTACATTAAAAGACAAATTGCCTTTGATCCCCCTCAAAATATTCCTACTTGCTTCAAATACCCTCGTCCCCTTGTTCTTGCCACTTTCTGAAGCAGGTCTGAAGTCCTCTTTCCAGAGTGTCTTTAGTTGCAGTCATGGCTGCCTCGATGTCCTGATTCAATTTAAAATATTTACCTTTCATGGTAATTTTGACTTTGGGGAAGAAACAGAAATCTCATGATACCAGATCAGTGAAGAAGGTGGATCAGGACACAGCGTCATGTTTTTATGAGCCTGCCTTTCTGTTGGATGGCCCTCGGCAGCAGCATTTGCCATGTTTTTTATCACACCTCATAAAGACACCGTGTCCTTTACTGTAATACTTTTTTCATCTAAGCATTCACCATATATTCTGATCACCCCTTACATGTCAAGCAAATAAAAGCATCGCAGATCTAAGCAGAGTGGGGAACTGTGGCTTCTCCTATCAGGGGCCCCTCCCTGCCCCATCATGCACTGCCCCAAAATGGACATAGTCAAAAACCTGGATAACCCTAAGGCCTCTCCCTGCCCGTCCCCCCTACCAGGGCAAAGCTCAGCAAACCGCAGTCAGTGGACCAAAGCCTGCTGTTCTGATGTGGCTGTGAACTAAGAAAGAAAGGATTTTTTGCTCTTAAAGAGTTGAGGGACAGGGCTCAAAAGAGTACATGTGACATGTGAAAATTAAATGAAATTCAAATTTCAGGGTCCACAAATAAGATTTGATTGGAACGAAGCCATTCCCACTTGCTGATGGGTTGTCTGTGGCTGACTTAGGCTGATCACAGTGGAGTGGTTATGACAGAGGCTGTGTGTCACCGAAACGTGAAACAGTTACTATGTGGCCCAGGGGATTGGGGGGGGGGCTGGTCCGTGTGCCCAGTAAATGTCCAGAGAGGTGGAAAATCACATGGCTATTCCCAAAACTCAAGTCCACGAAGAGGAGGGCATTCTGGTGTGGCCTCCTTAGGGTCTTGGTGGCATGCCAGGGGAAAAGCAGATGGACCCTGCCATCTGCCCTCCCACCCTCGGTGCCACCAAGTGAGATTTCAGCCCAAATTCCCCAGATAATTCCAATACATCAGGAGGGAGGGGGTGGGCTCAGAATGGCCCATGGGCAGCTGAGCATGACCTTGGCTCCTCTCCCTCTCCACCCCACCCAGGGGTTGTGTTCCACTACCGCCCCGGGCCCACCCGCTACTCGCTGACCTTTGAGGAGGCGCAGCAGGCATGCCTGAGCGCGGGTGCCATCATGGCCTCCCCAGAGCAGCTCCAGGCTGCCTACGAGGCAGGCTACGAGCAGTGTGATGCTGGCTGGCTGCAGGACCAGACTGTCAGGTAAAGGGCCACACACACCCCTACCCCAAGCCCCCAACCTCCAGGGCCCAGGCCCAAGGAGCCCTGGCCCGACACAACACCCAGCACCTTGTGGACCAATTGGCTTATGAGTGACTCTATAGCTTCTCCATAAATGTCCCCATCGAACAGAAGCCTGGTCTGAAAGTCAGTAAGGGGTACTGGGTTAAGTTCTTCATCATTTTGCCCCAGGAGACATACAGAGGAAGCCCCTGGTCTAGAAAATCCCTCCTGTAGCCCTGTGGTTCCTTCCAGCATGGCCCAGTGCCCTTCTGGGTAGCCAGCCCTCTTCTGAAGCAGGGACCCCGGGGGACTCACTGTGTCGGGTTTGAATCCTATCAGACATCCAAAGACACACCGTGCCCACATTCCAGCACCCCTCACCTGAAGGACAGGCACTCAAACTCCCATCCCACGCCCTCTGCAGATACCCCATTGTGAGCCCACGGACACCGTGTGTGGGTGACAAGGACAGCAGCCCCGGGGTGAGGACCTATGGCGTGCGCCCATCATCAGAAACCTATGATGTCTACTGCTACGTGGACAAGCTCGAGGGTAAGGCCACAGTCTCCCTCCTGGCCCTAGATGGGCAGGGGTGAGGGGACCAAGAGGAAGAGAATTAGCACCCCCAGCTCCTTCCCTCACTGCCTTCCAGGAGCAAAGGTGCCTTTAAGGAAAAAGGGCCATGCAGCCCCTTACCTTCAGCCCATGTCTCTTCCCCAGAGCTCTGGTGGTGCCCCAGCATTGCAGGGCCCTGGCTCCTTGCAAAGTCCTGTGGGTACCTAAATCAATCCATTACCAACAAATGTCACATATGCTGTCTGCTCTTAGAGAGTCCATTGCCCATGAGCAAATCAAAGGCTCTGAGAACTCCTGCAATAAGAAATCTCTTTACCTTGGCCTAACTCAAGCTTTTGCAACAACAGGCCTTTATTTTATTTTATTTCACATCTTTTAATTTCAATGAAAATCACCTGGCAAGGTGTGGTGGTACACAGCTATAATCCCATTACTTGGGAGGCTGAAGCAGGATTGTCATGAGTTTGAGGCCAGCCTGAACTTCATAACGAGAACCTGTCTCAAAAAAAGAAAAGAAAAAAGAAAGAAAGAAAATTATCAAATCACTGTCACACTGAATACAATTTGAGGAATGCTGGTGTTGTGGAAAAATTGTGGGCAGGTCGCCTAACCTCTTCAGGCTCAGTTTACTCATCTACAAAATGTACCTACATTAGAGGCCCTTTTTTAGTATTAAGTGAGATGTGTGTGAAAAGCACCTGGCACAAGCAGTGTTAAGTAGTCGTAGGCGTCCCACACACATACACACAGATAGGCACCTGGGTGCTATGCTGGATGCTGAGACTCACCCTGCTCTTGCTGAGCTCACAGGTGGGAGGGCTGGTTTACAGCACTCCTGCGGCTCCCTGGTAAGTGCAAGGCTCAGGTGGCTGGGATGGGAGGGTCTTAGCCGAGGAGAAGGAGCCTACCTGTGACAGAATCCACAAAGAAAGGAAAGAGCAGAAGCTGCGTCCTGCAGAGAGTGTGCCCAACTGAGCCAGCTCTGCTGGGTCATTGCCTCTTATAGCACCGGAAGCTGAGTCCAGTAAAACCCAAGGCATGTAAAGGCCTGGCCTATGGCATGTGACCCCTCAGCCCAGGCGGATGGCTGGTGTCAGCCCCTCCCAGTAGGGTTGTGGGTGCTGGGGATTTCTGCCCCTGGGGAGCAGAGCTGGACGGTCACACTGTCACCTGCCTCTGTCCCCAGGGGAGGTATTCTTCACCACAAGCCTGGAGCAGTTCACCTTCTACGAGGCACTGGCATTCTGTGAATCACAAAACGCCACACTGGCCTCCACTGGCCAGCTCTACGCAGCCTGGATCCGCGGCCTGGACAAGTGCTACGCCGGCTGGCTGGCCGACGGCAGCCTCCGCTACCCCATCGTCACCCCACGGCCAGCCTGTGGAGGGGACAAGCCGGGCGTGAGGACAGTCTACCTCTATCCCAACCAGACAGGCCTCCTGGACCCGCTGTCCCGCCACCATGCCTTCTGCTTCCGAGGTGTGCATTCTGGCTGTCCTCCAACACCCCTTCCCCGGGGCGCCCCCTCCTGGCCTCTGACTGCCATCACCACGCAGCAGAGCAAGGAGGATGGGGCGGGGCAACTCTGGAGCTAGCTTGATTTAGGCTTTGACCATAAGGCAAGGTCATCTTTCTAAAGATCCGAGAGACAGAAGCCAGTGAAGAACCTCGAACCTCACCGACCTGAGTTTGAATTATGGCTCTACTTAAGAGCTAGGTGACCCTGGGCAAGTGACTTAATTTCTGTCCCTCTGCTTCATCTGTAAATGGTGATAAAATAGTTCCTGCTTCAAAAAGAGTAACAGACAGCTTTGAACTGGGATAATGCATACGAAGAATTTGCAAAAGATATATATAGATATATCTAGATAGATAGATAGATAGATAGATAGATAGATTGCTAGATTGCTATAATTTCTCAAACTCTGCTTCATCTGTAAATGGTGATAAAATAGTTCCTGCTTCAAAAAGAGTAACAGACAGCTTTGAACTGGGATAATGCATACGAAGAATTTGCA